AAAAAGATTTTATTTTTATTTATTTGACAGAGAGAGAGGAAGAGAGAGCAAACACAAGCAGGGAGAGCAGCAGAGGGAGAGGGAGAAGCAGGCTCTCCACTGAGCAGGGAGCCCAACGTGGGGCTCAATCCCAGGACCTTGGGATCATGACCTGAGCTGAAGGCAGATGCTTAACCATCTGAGCCACCCAGGCGCCCCCATTTGGGGAAACTTCTTACATGTATTTTCCAGCAGACTAATTCTCTGTGCAGCTGTGTCTGACCTAACATTTAACCCATCCACTGAGTTTTAAATTTCAGCAACTTTTGTTTTTAAAATGTTTATGTTCTGTTTGGTTTGTTTTCATCTCCAGTCTCTTTAGATAGTCTTTTCTTTTATCATGTTTTTAATTCCTTCTTTCAGGTCTGAAGAAATTTTATTTTTTTTAAAGATTTTATTTATTTGACAGAGAGAGACACAGTGAGAGAGGGAGAAGCAGGCTCCCCGCTGAGCAGAGAGCCCCCCGTGGGGCTCGATTCCAGGACTCTGGGATCATTACCTGAGCCGAAGGCAGACGCTTAATGACTGAGCCACCCAGGTGCCCCTCAGGTCTGAAGAAATTTTAAACATAGTTATTCTATAGCCAATGATTCTAGTATCTAAAGTCACTGACAGAGATGCTCAGGAGTTCATGTTTAGTTGGACTCTTTCTGTGGGAATCACTGCTTGGCCTCAATTGAGAATGTTAACCTCAGGAGAGGATTTATATTTTGCTTCTCCTCAATGCCGTAGGATTAATTTTATATTAAAATTTTACTTTGGTGTTTCTCAATCTATGAAGTAATGTAAATGCACCCAACACAAGTACAGACAGGACTAAGGTTGTGAATCCCCAGGGGAGACCTCTTCCACTCCAACAGGAGGAGAACCTAAAGCTTTCTTGTCCTATCTTTGTGTTGGCGGATGGTCTTCTACACTGTACCTTCACCGGGTTATAATGCTTTCAGGGGCCTAGCTTAATGTGAAAGCCTCATTTCCAACTCTCCACTTTGCATACATACAAGGTTTTGCCCACTGCACCTCAAGACAATTAAAACCTAAGCATAGGGCAGGAGTGGCAGCAACAGTGGCCCAGGGGCTGCTTTGGGTTTCAGTCCTTTTTAGTTCTCAGGAAAATGAATTCTTTTATCTTCAGATCTCAACACAAGTAACACTTTCTCACAGAGGCCATACAGTGTATGTCAGGGACCTGCTATCCATTTTCATAGTTCCTTCCATTTTTCCTCCAGTGCACCTAATTATTTGTAATTGTTTTTTTTTTTTAAGATTTTATTTATTTCAGAAAGAGAGAGAGCATGAGTGGGAGGTGGGACAGAGGGAGAGAGAGAGAAAGAGACTCCCCTGCTGAGTGGGGAGCCTGATGCGGGGCTCGATCCCAGGACCCCGAGATCACGACCTGAGCTGAAGCCAAGAGTCAGATGCTTAACCGACTGAGCCACCAGGCGCCCCTATAGTTAAGTTTAATAGTGTATTTGTTTACTGTTTGTCTCTTTCACTAGACTGTTAGTTCCATGAGGGCAGGAATCATTTGTTCATCATAGTATCCAATCTGGCACATCATAGGAACAAAATAAATATTTGCCAAATGAATACATACATGAGGGAGGGAAGGAAAAATGGATATTAATATGCACATAACTCTTCAAGGAAAGTAAAGGGCTGAAATGAAAGAAAAAAGAGAACATTTTATTATAAATTATTTCAAAATTGCAGTAAACCCATGGCAAATCCTTGGGTAGCCATTTCTCAATGCAATCAAACTTACATATTCACCATTCTTGGTTCCTTTTTCTTTTAACTGAGATATAATGCTCATATCCTAAGTATGCCATCCAATCGGTCTTGACAAATACATACAACTCTTGTAACACACACCTCTATAAAAATGCAGAATGTTTCCATCAATCCAGAAAGTTTCCTTACCTTTATTTCAATATCCCCATTCCCAGAAACAGTACCTGGTGCGATTTCCGTCACTATAAATCAATTTTACTTATTCTAGAATTTCATGTACATGTAATCAAATTTATGTACTTTTGGTATACAGTGTATGAGAATTCCATGTGCTCCACCTCATCTCCAACAATTGATGTTGTCAATCTTTTTCACTGTAGTCATTCTAGTGGGTCATTATGGTTTTAATTGGCATTTTCCTGATGATTAATGATATCAAGCACCTTTTTATGTGCTTATTGCCCATTTGTATATCTTCTTCTGTGAAGTGTCTGTCCAAGTCTTTAGACCATTTAAAATTTGGGCAGGAATTTGAGGTGCAGGAATTCGTTACATAGTTTGTCCTTTGTCAGACACGTGTTGCAAATATTTTCTTTCAGGTTGTGCTTTGTCTTTTTAATAGTATTCTTTAATGAGGAAAGAATTTATTTTCAATAAGGTCCAACTTATCAGTTTTTAATGGTTCATGATTCCTCTAAGAATTCTTTGCCTGCTCCAAAGACATGAAGATATTTTTCTAAGCCTTCTTTTAGTAGCTTTATGGTTTTAGCTTTTATGTTTAAATTTATGATACATCTCAAACTGGTTTCTACGTAAAGTATGAGGAAGAGGTTGAGGTTCTTTATTTCATATAAATATAGAGTTGTTCCAGAAGCACTTGTTAAAAAGATTTTCCTTTCCCAACTGAATTTCTTTTGTGCCTTGTTAAAAAAAAAAAAAAGTCATTTGACCTTATACATGTGAGCTTACTGTATGGATGACTTGTGTATTCTTTTTTTTTTTTTAAGATTTTATTTATTTATCAGAGAGAGAGAGAGACAGAGGCAGGCAGAGGGAGAAGCAGGCTCCTTGCTGAGGAGCAAGGATCCCAGAACCCTGGGATCATGACCTGAGCCGAAGGCAGACGCTTAACCGACTGAGCCACCCAGGCGTCCCACTTGTGTATTCTTTTGCCAATATCACACTTTCTTGATTACTGTGGCTTTTTGTAAGTCTTGATGTCAAGTAGAGTTGTTAAGTCCTTCAACTTTGCTCTTTTTAAAGACTTGGTTTTTCTAAGTCCTCTGGTTTCCAAATATATTTTAAAATCAGTTGGCCAGTTTCTTCAAAGTTTATTGGGATTTGGATTGGTATTGAATCTACAGATAAATTTGGAAAAATGTGCCATCCTAACTATATTGAATGTGAATATTCCATGGCAAACCTCTCCACTTATTTAGGTTTTCTTTAATTCTTCTCAGCAATATTTTATAGTTTTCAGTCTTAACATCTTTCATTAAATTTATCCATAAGTATTTGATGTTTTTTTAATCTTACAGTAAATGGTGTTTTTCCTAAATTTAGTTTTCTAATTACTCACTGCTATAGATGGAAATATAATCAATTTTTGTACACTGACTTTGTATCCTGCAACACTGCTCTAAAGTCATGTATCTGTTCTAGGAGTGTTTTTGTAGATTCCTTAGGACTGTCTCTACATAATCATGTCGTCTGCAAATAGGACAGCTTTACTTCTTCCTTTCCAACATTTATGCCCTTTTCTTCACTGGCTAAGACCTCCAGTACAATTTTGAATAGAGGTGGTGAAAAGTGGACACCTTTGCTTGTTCTCAATATTAGGTAGGAAATACTCCAAAATTTAACCTTTTGGTATAATATTAGCTGTACATTTTTTTGTAGGTGTTCTTTATCAGATTGAAGAAGCTTCTTTGACTCCTGGTATATTGAGAAATGTTATCATAAATGGGCATTATTGTCAAATATTTTTTCTGCACCTATTGAAATGATCTTATAATTTTCTTTTTTAAACTGCTAATATGGTGAAATACGTTGGCTGATTTTTATGTATTAAATGAATCTGTACTCCTAGGATAAATCTCACTTGATCATGGAGTATTATCCTTTTTACATATTGCCACATTCAATTTGGTAATATTTTGTTAAAGGTTTTTTCATCCATATTCATGAGAGAATTTGATTATGGATTTTATTTTCTTGTAATGGCTTTTTTTTTGTATCAGGTTTAGAGTAGCCTGATAAAATGACTTGGAAAGTGTACCTTCTTCCTCTGTTTATTGAGAATTTATGTCAGATTGTTATTATTTCTTCCTTAAATATATGATAGTATTCAACAGTTCAGCCCTCTGAGCTTAGAGTTTTCTTTGTGGGAAGTTAATTACAAATTCAATTTCCTTAACAGATTTAGGACTATTTAGATTTTCTATTTTTTCTTAAGTCAGTTTTGTTAATTTGTGTCATTTTTTAAAAAAGATTCTATTCCCCACATGTGGCTTGAACCCACAACTTCAAGATCAAGAGTTGCATACTCTACTGACTGAACCAGCCAGACAACCCTAATTTGTATCTTCCAAGGAATTTGCTTATTTCATCTAGGTTGCCAAATTTATTGGCAAAAAGTTGCTCACAATATTCCCTTATCATCCTTATAATAACTATAGGGTCTGTAGCAATGTCCCTTCTTTCATTTGTGATATTGGTAATTTGTATTTTCTTTCCTTTTTTCTTGATCAGGATTTCTAGGGGGTAATTAATTTTACTGCTTTTTAAAGAACCAAATTCTAGCTCTTTGAATTTCTTCTTTTTTTTAAGATTTTAATTAATTAATTAATTAATTTTACAGACAGACACAGCGAGAGAGGGAACACAAGCAGGTGGAGTAGGAGAGGGAGAAGCAGGCTTCCCGCTGAGCAGGGAGCCCGATGCAGGGCTTGATCCCAGGACCCTGGGATCATGACCTGAGCCGAAGGTAGACGCTTAACAACTGAGCCACCCAGGCGCCCCTCTTTGATTTTCTTGATTCATTTTTTATAGAGGATACTGTAGATAAAATTAAAGGCCACTATAATCCCTTCCCTAAACAACCCACTCCTCTCCTTCTGTTCCTGAGGTACCTATTCTTCTAAGTTTCATGTTTACTATCACCTACCATTTGTATATTAAAATAATGCTAATCTCCGCTACTCTACTAGGACCTTTCGTTTACTCACCATGTTTCCTGCTTCTGCAGCCAGCCGGGCAGCATAGCGAGCTATAAGTCGGTGTTCCTCATCCAGTCGGCTTGGACTATCCAGGACACTGCCAAAGAGACAAAAAATTCAACAGGTGTCTATTAAACATTCCCTACCCTTGCTTTTCTCTTAGAAAGAACAGATGGGAGAAAGCTTATAAAAAAGTATGGTAGCAAAAGAAACAAGAGGCCTCGGTCATAGATAATAATGGTCTTCTGAAAGGTGGTTTATAGAGAAATGATGAGACCACACATGCCCTTTCTTTTCAGCAGCATCCCCCTGACTCCTACGCCGTAAGAAGGGGCACTTCTTTTTGAATGCAAGGTCCGAGAAAAGACAGAGCATCTACAAAGTCTGAGGGGGGATTTCTAATCAAATGTTTTGGAAAAACTCATAACTTTTAGACATAGGTCTTGAATTTAAAAAGATCAAGAGAAAACTAAAGCATCATGAAAAACAGAGGGCTAAAGAAAAGTACACTTAACACTGGCTGAACAACTGAGGAAAACTGAGGAGCCCAGGAAAGGGCAGGTCTAACATATGGTAAAGCTGGAGAAGAATCCATGGTATCAAACATTCCCTTTCGATGTGTCTTTCTCTTCTTTCACCATGTTTGTTCCACAATTAGAGCCCCATCTTAGAGTGAATTAATTTAGTCCATTACTCTTTCACAAGAGTACCAGCACCTTAACTTTAAGGTCTTTAAGACTTACGTGGGATATCAGATACTGCTGCACCTGGATGAAGGAAGTGTTCTTGAGTAGTAGGCTAGCTCTGTGTATATGTGATGCAATGACCTTTTGACTGAATTATGAAATAATGGACTCCTTTAGTTTAGCATGTTACATCAACTGTCATTTATCCATAGCAGGGCACTCCTAGATTAATAGGGACTGTGGCTATAGAATTCTGTTTAAGTCTGGCAGATGCTTTAAGGTAACAGTGGTGATGACAACTGACCCAAGATGGCTGTTGTGGCCTGCTTCTACGTTGGCCCTTGGTTCTTGGTGTTCCAAAAACCTCTGAATGGAATTTAGCAACACAATTAGTAATAAGAAAAAATTTAAAGACATGAGTTCAATACTCATCAAATCTTGTAATAATTACTGATGGGGGGGAATCTGGGAAGGGTGAAGTTAAATTGATAGAAATGTATCTGACCTTTTCATGTATAGAATCAACTGTATTTTTCCTAGATTTTTTTCACCTTTCTGTATTTCTATCATTGTGGCTAAGTCTTTAAGCTTAACTTGGTCTTTCCTCTAGGATGGATTTTCTTTTTAATGTACTTCTTCTGCCTGTGCCACTTCTGAATACTTTATAATTTTAGGTATGCAAATGTCAGTCTGTATCATCATCCTCTCATGAGATGATTTTGTAATAAGAACATGCTACCATCAATTGGCTTTAATACATTAGGGTCAAGGCCCCAAGGTCAAGGCTGAACTGTAATATTTGTGCCTTAAAGTTGTTTGTTGGAAATAAGAGAACTACCTTTATCTTTTAAAAAAACAACAAAAATGAACATTATACAAGTGGATAATATTATAGAGGGACTGGCAACCTAAGAAATGGGACTTAAAGTTACTGCCCTTTGTTTTGGCAAGGGATATAACAAAAACTTAATTTTTTCCTCTGTGCAAAAAAGCTCCCTCTCCTCCATCGTGTTCCATCTCCCTAGGAAGGTTAATTCTACTTGTCATTTATACCCAAGTGTGGACGACATGGTTGCTTTAATTGGCTATGCTTTCCAACCAGAAACTAGAACTTTATGTTGATGAGAGGTTTTAAGGTCAATGAAAATTAAGAGGAAAATTAGAAAGGTTCCTTATTTTTCTGCTTGAGCTGACTTTCATTTTCAGAATTAGCCAGGAAATTTCTGACTTCTTTGAGGAGCATGAAGCTCAGTTCCTTAGACTATAAATCAATAAGAAATGCAGTACTCACCCAATCCTCATGTTCTCCCAGGGCTCCCAGCCACCAGTTCTTGCTCAGGAAGCCTAATCCCTAAGGCAGGACGCTTGAGGACCTTAGCTAAACCTCCCATAAATCTTCTGGGGCTGAAATATCAGGTTGCAGCCTCTGCCAACACTCTGCTTCTATTTTCACCATGGAAACTTTTAATCACCTGGACAACTGCCCTTACTGATAATAAGTAAGCTGTCCTGCCAGGGATGAGACAACTCTATTCCTAGAGACCCAAGGAGCTGGGACAGACTGCACAGAAATCATCTGTTGGCTGAAGAGGCACTCTTGGTTGATATGATGCACAATTATCAGGCCTTTCCTTCCCTCCCATAGGAAAAGCCTATTAAACATACTTGGGAAGTAGGAAAGTAGACTTTAGAATTAAATAAATGCCAAAAAATATCAAAGCTATTTAGTCACACTGGCAAAACTATGGGAAATGGTATGAAGTATAATATAGAAAACAGTCCTTTCCAAATATATATTTTTTCACATTATTTATTCTTGTTATCACAGGAAATAAAACCAAGGTCAACACCTTCTCACGGAGCCACGGCATGTTCTGGGCAAAACTAAGATCAAAATGTAAGGCTCCAGACTCTCTTATGTGCTTAGTTAATAAATTACGCTTCCTCTCTAAGAGTAAGAATCAATCTGCTGCTATGTAGAGTGGAGGGATGGCTTTAGATTATTTAAACTTTACCTGCTATTCTCCTTGCAGAATGGGTATGGACACAGAGTGGACAGGTAGCTCTGGGTCTACCTGAATGCAATGGCATTTTGTTTTAAAGGGTTAACTTTGCTGTAGTTAGTGGTTATCAAATGTTTTCTATCCTAACCCACTGAGGAACCAGGCATATTCCCACATTAACAGTGAGTCACTACCAGTAGTTTTCAGAGAAAGGGGAATATGGAGTTATTATATTACGTATAATTATCACATGTGGACGTACATATTGTTTGGGTAAAGTCTCCCTCAGGTGACAATGATCCAATACCACTATTGCAAACCAGTGGTTTAAATAATCAACAATGACCAGATTTGGGGGAAGAGATGAAGTTGTAACATGCAAAGATGTTACAGGGTGATGGTATCAAAGATTAGACAAAGTGAGATATCTGTGGGTTGATTAACCCTATGCTCTGAATGCCGGTAGAAAGGTTTCATTATTTAGACAAGAATGAGCAGTAAGAGGTTGCATCAAAGAGCTCTGTGAATGTACATCTTTGGGACTGCATATGTTTGCCATTTACAGAGCCTTTAAGTGTAAGCTGAAGGAAGTGAATTCCACTTGAAAACAGCATTTCTGACTATATGTTTAGGTAAGTGCCCAGGCTTGGCAAGGCTCCTTCTCTTTTAGAAGTTAATGCTTTAGCAATTATTTAAACTCTGCCAAACATAGCTGGTAGCTTCTCAAGAAAAACCCCACATGCAGAGCTTTTTCCAGCTGGCAAGCCCAGGTAACACAGCTCTCCCTCCCTCTGATCAGCCCTTGGCGACCGGCCTGCTGCCGCTGCTCTACCACTGACCGTGCACAGTGTTGCAGACGGGCCACATAGGAGGCTATCAGCGCATGCTCATCGGCCAAGTGACTGCGTATATCCTGGCTATACTGTAACCTAGGAACAACGGACGCAAAGACACCAAGCACAACACAAACACATACAGAGCGAAAAATGAACATGAATTAAAATGGGCAAACTTCAAAGAAAAATAGAAAAAAATAATAAATCATGATAAGGAAAACAATAAAAAACCACAATACATAATGGAATATGGTGTTAGACCATAGAAAATACATTTCACCAATCCTTTAAACAAAAGCAGTCTCTTAGGAAACAGCCTTGGGTGACTGACACTTCAGCATCTGAGCAGGGGAAACCAAGGAGGGGTCACCAAGAAGCCTTGCCCATCAGTCTTATCCACGTTCTGGGCTCTGAGATGGATGCACCTTTTAGGGAATGCCCAATGGCAGGAAAACAGGCAGAGTGGGTCTATTTAACATCACCAAATGCCCCCTACTGCTTTTATAGCTTTTGTCTACATGTAAAGAATTTTCAGTGTTACCTCATGACACCAGTTAAACCCTTTTATTTCTATAAGGATACGTACTGCCTTTAGCATCATTCTATTTTCTCCCATAAAACTGATACTTAAACCAAACTTGTTAGAATTGTTCCTTATTGTAAGACAACACTGTATACATTCTGAGCGAGACTCTTTTATAGATATTCAGACGGTCCTTAAGCAAAAGAGTTTCTAAAAGTGTTTTATTCCAAAAATGTTAAAACATGCACAAAATGGGGAGTGAACTAATGACTACTTTTCATGTACCCATCACCAAACTTCAACAAAAACCAAAATTTGCCAACTTATTGAATCTATTCTTCCTTCGCTCAACTTTTTGTCTAGAATGAGGTGGCTGGAGCAAATCCCAGACAATTTATTATTTCATTTGAGAATACTTAATTTACATAACCACAATGCCATCATCACACCTAAAAAAAAATTAAGAAAATTTTAACTCAGTCCATCCAAAAAATTCCTCAGATCTTCAAAAATATCCATCTACATTTAGAATCAAGATTCCAACAAGGTCCATACACACTGCATTTGGTTGATATGTTTCTGTTTTTAATCTATAACAGTTCTTCCTTTTCCTTGTTTCTGTCATGTCATTTATTTGTGAAGAAAGCAAGTTATCTAGTGGCATACCCTAGATTCTGGATTTGACTGATTATTTCCTTGGTGCCATTTAATTTGTTTCTCTATCCCCTGTGGCTAGAGCTAGAGATTTGATTAAAGTTTTTGCTTTCGTTTCATTTTTTGAGAAGGGGTTAGAATCTGTTGTAGGTAATATGGTGCACTTAAAAATCAAATAGGGGGCACACAATGGAATATAAATATTAATCAGTGGATTCGATGTTATTGGTTACATCTCTCCATTATAAAGTCCCCCATCAACTTTTCACCTAATGGCTTTAGCATTTACTAATGATTTGCCTAGATTCAAGATCCAGTTTCCAATTTTATCATCTTTTCTGCATTTATTAGTTTCTCTATTTGTTTATCTTGAAATACTGATCATTCAGAAAAGGTAAAAAACAAATGTTTGGCATTTCTTACTATTTAACAAATTTCAGAACAATGAATTAGTGCCCTAGCAACCTCCAATGGTTACCCAGGAGTTTTCTTTTTTAGTATCATTAGGAACTCATAGATTTTTATGTATCTGATTACTTCAATCCATTACAATCATCATTTTGATGTTCAAATCGTCCTATCTTTGGCCAGTGGAGCTCCTATAAGTAGGCTCCTGTGTTAATCTAATATATCCATTAGATATCATTAGCTTCCTTGGTTGGCACAGATGACCCACTTGGTTGGTAAGATGCCCCAGTCCTATCTTGTGTATGTCCTGCCCCACACTTGGAATCAACTATTCCTTCAAGGATTGCAGGTTCCCTTTACTAGGAAAGAGTGTTTAGAGACCACAGTTAGGGTTCTAGGGTGCTCCTTGTTCCTGGACGATCACTGCTTCTAGAACTTTTCAGTGGATAAAGCTAGGAAATCTATGTATTTTAGAAGGAGTAAAAACAGGTTCTCTCACTACTTTCAAATGCCATTCAATTTTCTGCTAGCATGCATTTTTTTAAAAAGATTTTATTATTTATTTGAGAGAGAGAGCACAAGCACAAGCAGGGGGAGTGGCAGGCAGAGGGAGAAGCAGACTCCCCACTGAGCAGGGACCCTGGAATCATGACCTCAGTGAAGGCAGATGCTTACCAGACTGAGCCACCCAGGCACCCCAAGTGCATTGTTTTTAATGAGAAATCACTTCAAAAATCTTATCTTTTTCCCCCTGTATATAACATTTTTTCCTCTAGCTGCTTTTAATACTTTTTCTTCATCACTGGCTTTCAGCAATTTGATTGTGATGTGCCTTGGTATGGTTTTCTGTTTATCCTGATTATAGTTTGTTGAGCTTCTTGTAGCTATGGGTTTATAGTTTTCATCAAATTTGTAAAAATTTATTTGGAAATTTGAGAAAAAATATTTCCTGAAATAATTTTTCTCTCCTCCCTCTGTTAGGCTGTTTGCCATTGTCCCATAAGTCTTGGAGGCTCTGTTCATTTTCCAGCATTGCATTTTGGATAGTTTGTATCGCTATGTCTTTAAGTTCAGTGGACTTTTTCTTCTGTCATTTCTGATATACTGTTAAGTCCATCCACTGACTTTTTCATTTTGGGTATTATCTCTTTCAACTCCAGAAGTTCTATTTTTTAATTTAAAACTTTTTGTCATTGAAGTAGAATATATATGCAGAAACCTCCAGTTATGTTTATAGTTGGTTCTTTTTTATTTCCATTTTTTTCCTCATTATGCTAATATTTTCCTTTACATTTTTGGTATTTGGTGTGGCTGGTTTTGTTTTTTTTTAAGATTTTTATTTATGGGCGCCTGGGTGGCTCAGTTGGTTAAGTGACTGCCTTCGGCTCAGGTCATGGAGTCCCAGGATCGAGTCCCATGTCAGGCTCCCCGCTTGGTGGGGAGTCTGCTTCTCCCTCTGACCCT